AGGGCTTGGGTCCCAGGAAGGTTGTGATAAGTCCCTGATTGCCCCCCCGTGCCCTTTTTTGACAGGTCTTCACTGATTCATGCATCAAATATTTGTGGCGCGATCTCAGCTCGCTGCAACCTCGACCTTCTGGGTTCAAGCGATTCTCCTGCCTCAGCCTCCCGAGTAGCTGGGATTACAGGCGCCTGACACCACGCCCAGCTAATTTTTTTGTATTTTTAGTAGGGACGGGATTTCACCATGTTGGCCAGGCTGGTCTCGTACTCCTGAGTTCAGATGATCCACCCGCCTTGGCCTCCCAAAGTGCTGGGATTTCAGGCGTGAGCCACGGTGCCCGGCCTGCATAGAGATATTCTATGGATGTTCGGGTCCTAGGTTACTTTATGAGGACCCACAAGACATCTGGAAAGAGGATAATCAGGCCATTCTGGGGGTTACAAAACCTGTTTTTTGTTTGTTTGTTTGTTTGTTTTTTGAGACAGAGTTTCGCTCTGTCGCCCAGGCTGGAGAACAGTGGCGCCATCTCCGCTCACTGCAAGCTCCGCCTCCCGGGTTCACGCCATTCTCCTGCCTCAGCCTCCCGAGTAACTGGGACTACAGGCGCCCGCCACCGCGCCTGGCTAATTTTTTGTATTTTTAGTAGAGACGGGGTTTCACCGTGTTAGTCAGGATGGTCTCGATCTCCTGACCTCGTGATCCGCCCATCTCGGCCTCCCAAAGTGCTGGGATTACAGGCGTGAGCCACCGCGCCCGGCCATATTTATTTATTGAATACCTATGAGCCAAATCCTGTGCTAGACAGTGTGCCCCTCACCAGTTCCTGTCCTGTTTAGTTGAGTGGAGGGTATAGGTATAGGCAATTATAAAATTCTTGAACACTACAAAATTCCACTGCTGTGGAATTACAAACAAGATTTTGTCTACTTCCGGTGCCCAAAGGAAGACGAATACTCCAGCAGGTGGCAGCAGGGAAACAATTATTTTAGATCTTCGTAAGGGAGAACTAAAAATACAAAAATTAGCCCAGGCGCGCGGTGGCGGCGCCTGTAGTCCCAGTTACTACGGGAGGCGCTGAGGCAGGAGAGATGGCGTGAACCCGGAGGGCGGAGCTTGCAGTGAGCGGAGATGGCGCCATGTTCTCCAGCCTGGGCGACAGAGCGAAACTCTGTCTAAAAAAACAAACCAAACAAACAAACAAAAAACAGTTTTGTAACCCCCAGAATGGCACTTGCTCTCTCCCCAACACCAC